ACCAAATAATACGTTTCCACTAGGTTTTTGAAACTTTTTTGAAAAACAAGTATTGCCATCAGATTCAGCATAGTCGACAACCTATGTTTTCATGCATTTCTGGCAGTCTAAACCTAACGACAAAAAACTCATAAGGTTTCGGAAAAATAGTCCATAGCGCTCGAACCAAGCAAAACCAAACTTTTGCTTAGATCTTATTTTATAGAGGACACTTCAGACTATCTATCTACGAGAAAAGAAGGATAGATTACTATGTTTCTCGAAATCCGAGCTATTTTCCCAAAGATTTTGTAGAAAACAGATCTTTCAAAGGTTTTTGAAAGCCGATTTTGTTTGTGAAAGTATCTCTATGTTTTATTGCTTTTGAGTTATTCAGAAAACAATCGAGTGCATTATATGGATAGTAGGGATGGATAGTAATTATTTCTTCTCAGTTTAAATAAAAAAGTGTAAACAAATACCCATCCAAAAAACTATTATCAATAACACCGGTTAATTAAAATGGTTATCTTCAAAATAACAAAAAATTAACTAATTAATAATAATAAAAAGTTATATAAAAAAGTAATAAACAAGTTATAAATGAAGAACTTTCTAGAATAATCAATGTAAACAAGTACCAGAAATATCTCTTGTCACTTCTTGAACTAACTGATACAATGTGTCTTTCTCAAGAAAATCATAGAATATCTCTCCTGGTTTAGTAGATTTCACATTGTTGTTGGATCATAATTGATGATATGCGTTGAAATCTCCTAAAAGTACTCGCTCGTTTTAATATTTTGATTTCTTAATCTCATCTAGTACCATCTTTATTCTTTCATTCAACCTTTTTATTGATGTTGATTTTGATCGATATACGATGATGATAATCACACTGAGTTAATTAGTTAGTGTCAAACGCAGTACAAGAATTTCAAATGCTGTATTCTCAAAATCTACCAACCATTTAACATAAGAATCACTCCTTGCATAAACTGCATAACCTCCTCCACGCCCGTTCCTGTCTTTTCGCAGAGGTGTGTGACAGTGAGAAACTGCTAAATTATTGTTAACAATTGTACTGTCAAATCAAGTTTCTGATAAACATAACACTATCGGTTTATTCAAGGATAGATAAGCACACACACTATTCATATCTGATGGTAAACTTCTTATATTCATAGACGAAAAAATTTCACTAGCAAGCACGTTTCTGTTCGAATTTATCATGGTGGAAAAAAAATCTCAGTCATGCCATTAAGGTCTACATAGAGCTTAGTATCACTTACATAGTTAGACAGAGAAGAAAGATAATAAAGAAAAAAATTATCTACGACTAGAGGAAAACGATTAGATAATACTGATTACAAAACTAAATCAGCTATTGAAAAACATTACGAAATTACAAAACATGTAACGAAAAACTCTGTCTTCCGTATTTGAGGGAATAGAAACATTCTCTTCTTATCTATTCTTTTATTTTCTGCAGATATGCGTCAAAGTTGTAGTCACTTTAAATAGTAGTACATCATTCTAATTTTTGTAAGTTGTGTTTTATTGTTGACAATGACTGTATGATCAGTCAAAATATCCGAATAGAAATAAAATAATTAAGTTTAGATTAGCTGCAAAACTTAACGTTTTTGGTAAAATAAGAGTGTTTATCTAGCGAGCAAAGTTTAAGTGGTTCTAATATGCATTTCTTAGCCATACAACTGCATTTGTATTTTCTGACAGTTGTATGTTGATCTTCGCCGGCGCGTAGAGCCGAATGTACGTCGGAGAAGTAACCGCGATTTTAAACTTTTTTTAAGCTCTTTTGTTAAATTATTTTGTATAATATTTTTTGGGGTTGGGGTTTTAATTCTTTAAATTTTTTTGTGCGATGCAAGACTTTTTGGTTGAACTAAGATAAACTGACCATTATTATCGGTATATTCTATTGAATCAACAGGACATTTTGTTCCGATACCTTTGCTAAATCCATTGATACTATATTCCTTTACAGAATGTGTTCTGGCATTGTCTACAATAATCTCAGCTTCATGATTTTTGAAATCTTTTTTAAAACGAATAAGCATAAATACACGTTCGAATTGTCATAAAATTGTTTCGTTATTAAAATAACCTTCTTGACCAACATTAATTCCGGCACTGGCTGAACTTTTGAGATAATTCAAATCATCGGCTAGAAAGAGAGGGAAGCTTTTGGACAGCACGTAAAAACTGCATCAGAGAGAGAGAAAAGAACGGTCCACTCGGATGCTGAACTAAAAAGTCTGAAACCATATGTGATCGTCCACGCTCACGTTATAATGAACGTTTTGTGATGTTTGTAACGAAGTTAATGTAAAATACTCTCTACACAATTTTGAATCGGAAATGGTATGGAATTCGTATGAGCTTTTTTAGCAAATTTGACGAGTTGTTTAACAAGTTTTGGATACTGTAGAGATAAATCATATTTTTCGCCAATGTCATTGTCTAGATCAAACAACTGATAAGGTTTATCTACACTAAAACGAACTAGCTTCCATTGTTTATAACGAACAGCATTGCCCCATTCATGATTCGTACAAAACTCAAAATAAATATAGTTGTGTACATCCTGCACAAAGCTATTGTTTAATAATATTGGAACAATTGAAATACCATCGATATCCCTCGGTAACAATTGTACACCACCTAATTCAGCTACACTAGGAAGAAAATCGGCGAATGTTGTGATGAAATTTGTTTGCGTGTTCGGACTGATCATATTTGGCCATCGAATGATTTGAGGTGTACGAATTCCTCCCTC